TCTTAAATCTTTTAAACCCACAGTACTTTCCCACTGTCAGGGGCGGCACCAGGCTGTTTGAAATAAAAAATAAAAACATTTTTAACATTTTCAACATGGTGGGTAAATCCTTATATGCTCCCGGCAACACACTGAACGTCAACTTTGCCTCCTTATTGCCCTCACCCCTACTTTAGTGCGAACAATGAGTCTGCGTCTTTGATGCGGACAGGCGGATGATGCGGGGATGCAATGTAGACAGGAATAAACGCAGATCATCCTCTGGCTGCAGCCTTGACCGGTACTTTTGATCAAAGTAAGTATTATTCAAATTAAAATAAAGGGCGGTGCCGGCCGTCAGCGAACCGAGCCGGCCGTCAAGATGGCCAGTCCGCCCCTGCCAGGACCGGTCCATGAAAATCCTAGCTTCAAATAATCGTGGTCATGCTTCCTCCGTTTTCTGCCAGACGCTGTCTCCTCTCTCCCTTTAGGTAACTTCACTAAAAATCGATCCATGTTGCCGCTCGCATAAAGTTGGCTGAAGTTAACCAGCTAGATTTCACTGTTTCTGGTTATTTCTTTCTCACACTGCGCCTCTCCGGAAGCTCTCTGGCGCCCCCCGGGGGAGGCGCGCCTCACACGACCGCTGCTCTAAGCTCTAGTCTATTGCCATGGGGTTGTAAATTGCAACTAACATTATCAGATTTATCAGGATTTACTTTCTCAAAGCAGAATAGGGCTGTTAACGTTGATGTTTGATCATGCCGTCTAATTAATGTTGGCTGTGCTGTTTGTAATGTGTACAGCTTTGTGATGCATGTGATATATATTTCTTATGTAATGTTCTATTTTGACCATGAGGGGGCGCCCTTAGTTTATTATTATATGAGGGACTCCTGGGCTGTATGGATGCAGAGGGATGAAAAAGGTAAATGAGAAACTCCCTGAAAGCCCATGAAAGACTTTTTTAAAAGTACTTCTTATATAGCTAGAGGTTTATTGTTTTTATAAACTAATATTTCCTTTCGTTATTACATTTAGAACATTCAGCCCTGCAGAAGCTTTATGAATCTTTTAAACACATTTAAAGGACAACATTTCCCTCCAATAATTCAGTCTCCAAACAGAGAGAAGCATTTAGAGGCTGACCTGGTAGATGTGTGTTTCGCTCGTGGCGTCGATGGTCTCCTGCAGTTTGGGCGTGTACACTTTGATGTCCTTGCTGAAAGCTTTGCAGGACTCTGCCAGGTCGAGGCTGGCCTCCGGCGACCCGCGAACGATCACCAGCTGTCTGGGCTTCATCTGATTAATAATCTTCTTGATGGAGTCGCCATCAGAGCGACCTTCGTAGTCTATGTACGATATCCTCGCTCTGTGGAAGATTGAAGACAGGATAAAGCTCTTTCATAATTGTCAAACACAGTCGAACACGAGCACAGACAAGACTTCCTGAGAGCATTTGTCATTTTTCCAGGAGCCGTTTGCTGAGTAGAAATAAGCTTTTATTCAAACAATAATTGGCCTTGAATTCAAATATTCACACCTGGAGGGCGTCCAGCACCCCACAGCACGGAGCAGTTGGCAGATGATCAGCACTAGTGGCAGTTCAAAAGGGAGGTGAGACATATTTAGAACTTAAAGGTGGGGTAGGTCATTCACTTCAGAAACACTTTTTGTTATATTCCATGGAATGCTCTTAACATCCCGATAGCAATGAATATATGAAATGCTTTGACAATAAATCCATAAAAAAATGTCATCTGTGGAAGCCGTAGCGCTGTAAAAAGCACGACCAATCATCTGAGCCGGCCCGGCTAAAATAACTGGATGGCCTACCTGCCTGTCAGCCTTCCATCTGTGCACAAATTTATCTCGTGCCCTCATTGGTCATGCGCGTGTTCGTGTGTGTTGGAGGAGGGGCTCTGTGAGGAAGTCTGAAGGAAGGGGCAGATTTGTTGCGTCTGCGTACTTTCAATTCTATGCGCACTCTAGCCTGGTTTCTCCATCTTACCTACCTATCCTTTAAGTCTGGGTAGAGTTCTTTTCACAGAGGAAGAGCAGATTTTTAAAAAGGGCCAAGGGAATAACTTTTTGGGTTTTCCATTTCCTGCCATTTAAATTGTCTGCAAAGGCTACAACCCAAAGTGTCTCTCGCATTCACACTCCCTTGCCTGAAAACGCCTAAATTGCCTCCTTTGTTGACTTTGTAAATGGTATGACTCACTACGCAACACTCCGTGCTACTACTTGGCTAGCACCACCAAACAAATGTTTGGCCATGGTTTCAGACAAGAGGGTGGAACGGGCGTATGAGAGGCAGCAACAAAAAAATAGACATTTTCGAACGCAGGAAAGGTGCATGTTCGGCCCCTTTAAGGAATCCTGACCTAATTGAGATTTTCCTATGCTGGAGACACATTTTGGTGGGAACAATAGAGAGATCCATTGGTCCATGGCTCGTCTCCGGTGGTCATACCCCAGAATCCCCAGTTTGTTTTTCTCCTCCTCTGTGGCTTGCAGCTCAGGACCAGAAAATCTTCTAGCCTGTGAAAAAACAACTCTGGCTTATTAAAAAGCATCAATAGTCTATTTACATTCTTCGTCATCGTCCTTGATCTGATGTCCCATCGTGTACACTGTTGCAGTACCTGATAATCTCCCCATAGGCTCTCCATTTGATTTTTGCCTCCGTGTGTGGGAACACGATAAATTTTGGCTTGTTTTGAAGAAGCGCCTTTGCGGCTGCCCGTCGCTCTCATCATCAGGTCGCTGATGTTTCCGTTTCATTCACACAACGGCTGATCCAGATAGTCGTCCATATCACTCTCTTCACTCAGTCTACATCCACCCTGGCAATGAAGTGCTTAGAATAAAACATTAACTGTGGTACATATGCATAAGTTTTCTAATAATACGAATGGGATCAAACCGCAACTTCCTAAATGCTGTGTGTGGTGTGTGTGTCGTGTGCTGTGGTGTGTGTGGTCTCCCTTGTTTTTGCCATCAATTTAAACACATTTGTTCTACAGTGCTGCTAGGGTATCAGGGTTCATACATTTTTCACGCAATGATTTTCAATGCACCGTTTACCTAAATTTCCAGACCACAAACAATTACTCCTTTCTTTAACATCGGAACAGGAAATAAGGTCTGCCATATGAAAAATGTTGCGCCGATCAAAACAAATCGAAAGTACGCTTACTACTCTACAGGCTAAACAATCTAAAACTCTCACCAGCAAAACATCGTCCAGTTAATGCCATTTACGTTTCATTAATAGACAGTATTTTATTTTCATTATAAATACTATTTCGGCGATGTAGCTAAATATAATTATATTCTGATCAACTTTAACCTTACATTTCCAGATGACTTTGGGGAAAAATATGTGTTTCCATAACTTTTCCAGGGCCTGGAATTAGCAGTTTGGAATTAACCCATGACTTTTCCACTTTTTTTAATTGACCGAAGAACCCTCTGGAGTCATACATTTGTCCAAGTGTCATCTTCCATTTTAAAGATTACCATTTAAATAGCCTGTTTTAAATGTTCAAGCCAGAGACTATTTGCATCATCCTTGGCTTTTTACATATTTTCCTTTTAAGCTGTGTAAAAGAGAATAAAAAGATGCATACAACTTCCTGTTTCGACGTACTCTTTTAAGCTTGATTCAAGTTTTTAGCTGCTTCTTTCTTTACTTTGTCTTTTCGAGGATTCTTCCAGTTCCTTGCTTCGAGCTTCACCTTTTCTCCACCTGTGATGATGAGAGAATGAAGCATGACATGGATTAAAGAGTATGAGTCTGAAGTGACAGACAGGCTTCTTCCCCATGGGCTGCAATCAGAGAAAACACAGTGAGTTATCATCGTGACTGCCACTTCACTCCAGATCCAGCATCTTCTCTCCGGGGGTTGTCCCGATGAGGTAGCGGCAGGGTTCCAGGTGTGGTGCGGTAGGTCAGATGCAGAAGCTTTTTTGGCGTCTTGGCAACCAACTGGATGAAGAGTTCTCTGGAGAAGCCGGCCTCAGAGGTCAGGCTGGCGCAAAGCACCACCTTAGGGCTGGGCACCGGGCAGGTCTGGCCAGTACTGTGGGCACAGCGTCAGGTGACGGAACCTGAAGGGGTTGTTTCTCTGTTTCAAAACACCTCATGAGTTTCAACTCATCCACTCCACCTACAGGAAGAACACATTCATGTATTATATGAAGTGATTCTGAATCTTAAGAATGGTGATGGTTAATTAACGAAGGCAGGAGAAAGAAGAGTATGATATCATCTCAAATTCCAGGCTTAATTGTAATTTGTACATACAATCAGTGTTAGCAACAGTTGTTATGACAATGACAATAAATGCGCGTTCACTCCGGACCAATCGCTCAAGTTTCAGCGCTGCTTGCAGTTTCCAGCCGCGGCTTGCGTTTCAACCTGCGTCATTCAAAACAGACATACCGTTACTGCGCGGCCGCCGTTGACAGATCAGTTGAGGTGCCTTACACTTCCATGCAAGATTGTTTTGGGTTATTTCTGTCCTTGACCATGGGGATATAACAACTATTGCTGCTTTGTACCTCTGTGGAAGTCCACAAACGAGCAACAAACCCCGTGTCTGGTTCTATTCTCCTCCAAGCCAAGCTCCTTTTTGTTTCGTCCGGTCGTATTAGCTAGACATTGTATCGTAAATCTCCGGGAACCCACTCACAGCCACAATATCATCTCTTCCATCCTTTACAACCGATCAACAGTCAGAGTCAAAGGGAATCCCCATCGCTGATTGGCTTTCGCGGAACGCGCCACGTGAATTTGACGCTCGAGTTGAAAAAATTGAACTCTCGCATTTGACGCGGCTCTCAATCGCTCAATCACGTGATTCGCACCCACGTCCACCGGCTTCATGCGCGCCGTCGGACAAAATTCGCGTCTCTCTGCCGTCTCTGCAATGGACTTTACAGTGACCGCCAAAACGCATCGCGTCCGGTGTGAACGCACATTAGGCTCCTCCAACAGTGCACACAATAAAACAGATAATAAAGATAAATATAATAGGAATAGGCAGAAATAGTCCTTTATACAGGTATATTGGAATATTGATAACATAAGATTGCAAAAGATGAATGTTATGGGATGTTCTTTTAAAAAGTTTCGGTGTTAACATCCCCTTGTGGCCGGTGGGAGGAAACTGTATCAAGTGTGAAACCAGTGGTACTGGGACTTGAGAACTCCACCAGCATAATAGCTACGCTTGTTGGCAGAGCGAAGAGGGTAGGCTCCCAGCCCGGCATCCCTTTGGTTCTCAAAATCTGGTCAGCAGTGAGCCAGCTCCAACACACGGCCCGCTGTATCCACGGCGATCAGGACATTACCGTCACCACGAAGAGTCTCCATTACATTGGCTGTGAGTAAAAAAATGTAGATTATTTTTGAAGATAAACTCCATTTTTTCAAAAAATTATTTACAGAAACTGGAGGAGGGGATGATAAAAAACACAAAGGAAACACAGGTAAGAACAAAATGTAATCCCTGTTCAAAAGAAATCTGTTCTACAGTCTTAAATTTGACTGTTTGCTGCGTGAAGGTAATATTGAGACTGCTCCATTGTTTCTCTTTAGTTCCACACACCTCTCAGGGGGGAGGGGATTGTAATTATTGTAGGAACAGATATAAACCACAATATACATAATAGGTTTTTCTAAAAAAAACATTAACTTAGTTATTTTCAGATGAGATTAAATAAATTTAACTACAGGATTATACATTTTGGTAAATTGGTGTATTATTTAGTCTATAATCCACTTTTTCAGATAGGTTTGGAGGGCGAAGGGTTCATTATCACCCCATTTCCACTATAGAGGGGGCACGTAAAGATACTACTAAGAAGCAAGCTCATCTCTCTGTGTTGCGACGCGGCTGTACATATCTAGCATTGAAGGAGTCTGTGAATAAGCAAAGAAGGACGACTTAATGCCTGGCCACACGCAAGCGTTCAGGTGACTAGAATAAAAAAACAGGAGTTATAAAGGGTAAGAAACTAATAGCCAACTAGAAAACGAATTTTACATTTCTCAATTTGTTTGGCGTGGTACTCACATTCTCTCTTGTGGTTGAAGTCAACAGCAATAAATATCTCCTCCTCTCCATACCTTCACTTTTCCAAATAGTCCCCCCCCAGACATGTGACCAGATGGAAGAGGAGAGTGATGGAAGACGGCCCTTTTCCTATTTGGTAAAAATAAAGATATAAAAATATGGTTACGTGATAATAAAACAGGGGTGGATCTGCTAGTAATGGGTCTCAACTAACTCACCGGTTTCAGATTGACAATCTGAGAGTATTTCAGCTGCTGGATTTTATCAAAAGCACAGTCCACATCATCCAGTGAAACAGTGTGAAAATCTTCACTGTGTTTTCAGAACTAAGGGAGATATGAATACACATAATGTTAGCATTGCAACAAGTCTTAAACTTATTTAAACATGCATGCATCCCTTTCCTTACTCTGAAAACTGATCATACATGAAACATCCTGATCCCTCTGTGACGGGGATGTGGCATATATAGTGCAGTTTAGACTAGTTTCCCCACAGCGTATGGCAGGCTCCAGGGTAGGGGTCAGGGTGGGAGAGGAGCACGGCGTCAACCCTGATGACTATCTGAAGGGAAATGGACATCACATTTAACGTCAAATTAGCAGAACAACGGAGGAAACTGAGTCTATAAGAAAGGGATACCATACGTTTCATAGCATCGAAATGCCATTGAGAAAGTCTCATCCCAGCACAGTCCGGAGGAAGGCGGAAATCATCCACCGTGCGAGCAGGTAACACAGGGCGACTCCTCCTGCACCCTCGACACTGCTGCAGCTTAATAATGGACGTCATATTTCTTATTTGTCTCTCTGAAAGTACAAATAGATGATCAATTATTACATAAAACAACCACCCAAATAAACAATGCAGTTAAATCTCAACTATATGGCCTCTATTACTTTGTTTACGATGAGAACTCATTCATTTAATCTTTGGGAAAAAAAAGCCGTAACAAGTTAAATGAACCTACACGATGCAATAGTGTTATTGCTGCATAAGTAAGGTCCCTATCAAATATGCGGCTGGCTCATCAAGCAGTGAGTCAATTTAAAAGTAAACACAATTTAATGCCAGCTACAGCTTAGTTAGCAACACCGATAACGAAAGTACCCCTGCGATGAATGTCTTTTAGCATGCATAGCTACACTAAACTTTGTGGATGTAAGTGGCTTGGCTCGACGGAGAAAGGTGTCAACGTACCACTAATACGAGAAATGGCGAATTTTCCCCGTTCAAATAGAAAAAAATAAGAATGTTCTAATAATTGTAACATTAAGACATTTTGGCCTAGCGTTTTCAGTACACACTTGATTAGCAAGACATCTTTGGCGCTGCATCATGTTGAAAGGGCAAGGACCGTACCAAGGGCGGTGTTAGAGCAAATTAAAAAGTAAAATAAAAT